TAGGGGATGTTATTATTATTTGTTTGGTCTACTGGAACGGTTATATGCTCTATTGCAACAATTCACAATTGAATTTCTGATATTTATGGAAGCAAAATGAGGAATATTTTCCTGTGCAATGAAATTTTTTAACTCATAACTTATATAAACCACAAAATAAAATTAAAATATTCAACTAGCATTACTCCTATACAAAAACAAAATGTGAATACATTGTTTGATCAACAATTCAATAGTCAAAATAGATGAGTTTGCATACAAAAAGTTCTAAACCAAAATATCTTTGAACATGATGATAGAAAGTTTAACAACGATCAACAACACTCAAGTAAGGTCTTCATCACTGCTTTCTTCCGCAATCGCTGCACCTACAAAAGACAACCAGAAATAATTAAATAAATTTTTTAAAAGATAATTGAATCACAAAGTAATTGAATAACCAATTTGATAACTCCAAAATTTTCAAACGCTCTAAATTCTTAAATTTTTTAGCAGAGTTTCCTTTGTAAATACGACCATCCCAAAATTTTCAACCTGCTCAAAACATCATTATCCTTGTTGTGGTGCATATCCAAATCAGAAAACATAAGGAGATACATCTAACTAGGGAAGTAACAAAACTATATAGCACTTCTCTGATCAGAAAACAAAACTAAAAAAGTAACAAAACTATATATCCAAATCAGAAAACATAAGGAGATACATCTAACTAGGGAAGTAACAAAACTATATAGCAAGACAAAGGGCAAGACAACCCTCAGATATATTGGCCAAACACAGGCCTTTGAACTCTTATAGCACTTCTCTGATCATTCATTTTTTCAAAGTTTTTCTGAAACTAAGAAAATTTGAAAATTTTAGCCAAACAAAACATACTGTTATGCTATGGAAACAAGAGGTAGTGACAGGCAATTTTTGCATTGAGGTCTGTCACCACTCGGTTTGCATCACCCTGTTGTAGAAAGACATAGAATAAACAATGGCTTCTGATAAAACCTTTAATTTACATAGTCATTCAGATGGCGCCACTAGATAGAGTTTTCGAGACACTGCAAGTATCTCCTTATTGCTCCTCACGCAACTTTTCAGTATTTCAATTATAGCAGGAGACAAACATACAATACATAGTAGTACTCCCTAGATAGATATAGCAGATAAAACTAGAGGTTCTGGATAGTTCTTTGCAGACTTCGCTAATAACATAACTCAATTCTGTAAATGGAACAATTATAATTCTAACTTTTAGTTACTAGTTAGTTAATCAAATGAGTCTGTTGAACTAATTGATTAGTATTAAAACCACAATTGGTGAGATTACTTTTGGTGCTTAGTCTTTTGTGTCTATGCATATTGATATGGATGTGAACGAGAAGCAGCAGATGCTACAAATGGCGCCAGTGATGAATTTCTGATACAAGTGTTTTTGAATTTCTGATACAACCACCGACTATCTCGTTTCATTGTTTAACTTCTAGTTTCCTTAAGTCTCAATATTCTTAGACATAGAGGCATAATGCTCTTAGCAACTTATCTCAGCAGCATCTGATGAATAACTTACCTGAGGGTTCAATTTATGAGAATCATAATCTCTTCTGTTTCTTTTTCCTTTTTTGCAGTTTCACTTGCCAGCTCAAATAGTCCACTACAGAAGCGAGAAAAGTTTTATCTTCTAGCTGTTGGATATTACAGAAGTGGGGAATATTCAAGGAGCAGAGAGCTTACAGGTCACTATTTGGAGGTCTGCTCCTAATCTTTATGTAGTTGGATCTTGTCATTTATCAAGCGTTTGAAGACAATCAGAATTTGACTTCCTTATTTAGTTCTATTTCTTTCTGTAGTTTCTAAAAGCTTTTTCTTGCTTCGCTAGATTGCGCCTGATTGGAGGCGTTGTCGCTTAAGAAGGCTATTGAAGATAGAATCACAAAGGCGTTGTCGCTTAAGAAGGCTATTGGAGATAGAATCACAAAGGGTAATGACAAGAGACTTCATCACACAATTATGTCTCTACACAAGAACTTGGCTAAATAAGAAACGCCACACAGAAATCCACCAAGGTCACTTGGGATCTACAAAATCACTCAACAAAGTACCATAATCAAATATATCCAGACACAATCTTCCACAACGCGAGTTTGCTAAAAGTGATAACAGAAAACTAAAATTGATAATTCATTTCTACCAAGTTTAAACCGTGGCCTTGCTGATGGAAAATAGACCTGAATGAACATAAAAGATTTCTCTTACAAAATGGCACTGCATCATACTTGATGTTTGATGTAACAGAACCAAGATTTCATAGCTCAACTGTTAAGGCATAAGCTATTGAACTGTATAGAGAAAGAGAGGAATACAATAGCTTTTGACGGAGTAGAGAAGGATTTTTACACTAGAGGAATACAAGAGAATGCGCACATCAACTACCAAACTAAGACAGTAGATCTTACAAAAATTATTAAATTTTCAATGAGTTAATACCTGGAATGAGTTGGCCTTCTTTGTTGGTACCAGTAGATGGACGACAGATTGGTTGCAATGTTGTTTGCTGAGCAGATGAAGCTTCTCCAAATGAATTATCACACAATGCCGCCAGAATAATGTTAGCATCAATATCAATTCCTAAACGCTGAAGTCGTGCAAGGACATCTACAACAACTTCTTGACGGATAGTTGCCTTTTGTTCCTCAATTTTTTCCTCCATTCTTTGTATCTTCTCCTCCAAACTTTGTATAGAATTTGAAGTATTCGAAGAGGGTTCAAAACATCCTACTTTCCCTCTCAAAGAAGTTCTCGTAACACCTCGTCCATACAATCTCAGACGTCACGGATGTTCAGGTCCCATGACAGATGCAAATGCCTCTACGGACTCATTGCCATTTAAGTTTTGTTGTGCTTCAATTTCCTCCATTTCAGCCTACAAAGCAAATTCAAAAAAATATAATTCAAGTAAATAAAAAGTAACCAAATAGAAACAAATAATTGATCTCGATATAACATTAATTAAATATAATCTCACAATTTTACTAGTTGTATCCTCATCCGAGGACTTGTATGATCGCCTAACTTTTCTTTTCCTTGTAGCAACAAAGACTTCCTTTGATGATAAAGGATCCGAAGTTTCCTTGTCTTTTTCCTAGTTACATGAAAGTGAGTTACCATTCCTAGTGATCTACCATGAACTAAACAAAAGCTAAAATTGAAATTTTTCTGCCACGATTTGCTAGTTACACACCAACTTAGAGCGAACTAAAGCAAAACTTCTTTTTCCAGCAGTGTGAGGATTCTTCAACTTCTTCCGATTCTCAATGTTAGTTTTAGACATTCTCTGCAAACAGAAAGAAACATCAAACAATGAAATATATAATGCTTCCTGTTAAAATATCAAACAGAAAGGTACCAGAGTCATATATAATGCTTCATGTTAATATATCAAACAGAAAAATATATATGTTGCACGCTTGTACCAAGCAAAAACAGCCGCTACTTTGAACCAAAAATACTTGAAACCTATTGAAGTTATACATGGAGTTCCAACAATTCAGTTTTCAATGAAGGAACGGATGGAATTCGCAAAGGAGGAGGGATTGCATCAAGATATTGTGGTGAAGCTGTCTTCGAATCATGCAACAAATGTATTAGGACATGAGAAATCTGGAATTGAAGCAGCTACTGTATGTTCAAAGTTGGAGGCTACTATTGCATTGAATGCAACTGGTGATCGACCTACTGTTGGGGATCCTAGATCCTAAATCTACTTGTTGATTTAGTTGAAAAACTGAATGCACATAATTTGGAGGGGGATTTGGGCAACAACAAGGAGAAAAATATGGAGGGGGATTGGACTACAGTATCTGGTAACCTCACGACAGTAGGAGCTAAAATACTGGAGAATTTGAATCCTCTCAATGCACTCACGGTAAATAAATACGGCATAGACAACAATTGGGCAGAATCTGGGCAGAAACGGGGCAGAATTTTTCTGAAAAAAAAAATTCGTCGGCATTTCGGCGCTTTTTGGACGTTTAGAAAGAAAAAGAAAAAGAAGAAGAAGAAGAAGAATGAAAATAAAAACATACCTCCAATCATGAAATACCATCTAATGACCTTGCTGGTCGATCAGGGAACTCAATACACTTATCACACCAACAACAAACACTGTAGATGATGTCTTCAGCAACAAAAAAGCCTAAGGAAAGGATTGGTTATGAAGAAGGAGAATATGCTTATGATTCAGACAAGAAATACGAAGAAGATGAAGACGAGTATGTATCCAAAAGCTGGGCAGATCAGGTTGAGGAGGAGAAAGGGAACAAAGCTGATTCACTAGACAATTACGAGGCTTGTGATGAGCAAAATACCATTCCTACCAATGCACAAATGATCAATACACCAATTTCAAAGGCAGCAACAGGGAAGAAGAAAAAGAAGGTGCAGAAGGTGCGCGATGAAATATTGAAGATACACGATGAGCAGGCCCATAATTCTGCTAAGAAGTAGTTCAAGAAGATGAGGAAGAACAAGTAAAAAGTCACATACCTGGAGTTTCTCAGAGTTCCAATNTCTTTCAGGGTATATGTTTGCTATTTGAGTTTTCATTCACTTTTATAGGGGTCAAAGTAATTTTTTTTCAATCTACTCTTACGCTTTCTCCAGGCAGCTTGAATTGATTCCAAAGTATATTTTTTCGCAGCTTCAGGAATATCATATTTTTCCTACAATTGGTGTCAAATCTGTTAGTGCAGAAAATATGAAAGATTTTCAATCAAAAATTAAAACTTAAGAAGTTCAGACCTTGGTATATTCCCATATATCCTCTTTTGTATCCATCTTCCTCCAATCCAAAATATCAAGAGGACATAGAGTCGCATTCCTTGCCAATGTGCCGAGGAAGCTTCCAAACTCTGTCACAACTGCTTCACTAGGACCGACGGGTTGATTTAAGTTGTTGAGTAAAATCAATTTACGCTCATGTCGTCCATGTACACTTTTCATCTTTGTTTTTCCTCTTTTTCTTGTTTGATTAGAAGGGCCTTCAACTATTCGAACCAAACAAAACCACCAAATCACTATTGTTGGTACATTTTTTATGACTGAAATACGATGTAAATATTTTTAGATAAAGTTTATAGGTTCTTACCTTGTTCTTCACATTGTTCATCTTCAACAAGAGTTGTAGAATCCAACTGAACTTGTTCCTCTATTACTTGTGTTGTAGGAGTTGTTGATCTTGTTTGTACATGGGCTGCTACTTCTGAATATTGTGGCACTTGCAGATTCTCTTCAATGATATTCAGAGGCTCTTTGTTTGATTGTCTAGCAGGAGCAACATGTTTTGCAAAAGTGGTTGATCTAGTTTGTGCATGAGCTACTGCTCCTGGCAGATTCTCTACAATAATATTCGGCCGCTCTTTGTTTGATTGTCTAGCGGGAACAACATACTTTTGGCTAAACGAAGTCCTTATTTGGTTTGCCAAAGATGCCATTGTTCCAGGTTTTGTGTATGTTGCGCTTGTCTTTCTTTTGGGCTTTGAAGGTCTTTCTTGACTCATATCTATCAAATCTGATGAAGAATACAAATAAAAATAGCTTTATTAGGTATTATATAAATGACAACAGTAGAATTCCAAATAAAGTGCAGCTTCATATGATAAGTTAAGGATATGCATATGATAGTTTCAGAGTAAACTATGGCAATCCACATTGAAAAACTATAACCAGATAACCAGTACTAACTACAGGATAACAGGGAATCCACACTGAAACACTATAAAATCTCATTATTGCAGCAATAGCAGCAGCATTGCTGCACTAACGGGAAAACAGAAATAGAACTGAAGAGGTAGTATTAACTATAGAGATCTGCTCATGTAATGGTTAAACGTGAAGGCCAGATTCTGATTCATGATTCATGATGGTCACATATTATTTGTGTCCTCACCCCAATTTTTCCCAGTGACCATCACCAACTCTATTTACTTTTCATATGAGAATGAGTAACGCAACATTCAACAGTAGTCCAGGCTAGAGGCATTTGATAGGCAAACCTCTATGAGTCATCCTACCAGAACCCACTAAACAACTCAAATGCTATTTTGTAGAATGTTGCACAATAAACACCGGATGCGCACACAAAAAATATTTCAATATCAGACATAGTATGCTAGCAGCACTTTTAGATCTATGTCCATACAAAATTCTGTGCACCATACAAGGTCATACGCAAAAACCGAAAATTTAAAACAAAAGTTGTTTGAATATTATAAAAGCTTGGAATGAAACAAACTAAGCTTGAACTATAACATATTAAAATAGCTTTCATGTATGGACTATAGTTTCCAGTACTTAGCATATTACAAAAGCTTGAAACTGAAACAAACTAAAAACTCCAAGAGCATACACAAGAACAAAAAAGTGTTCGAAAGAAGACAATGAAGATAAAAAATACAAATAAATCAGAAGTTTCTTCCTCAATCATCAGCAGCCATCCAATCCCAATCCGTATCATCTACATCATCCTCCTCTTCTGATGTTTCCATAACTGTATCTTGTGAATGTTGTGCATCAGTTGGCATATCAATAACATCAAGAGGTACATCTTCTCTCGACCATCTAAAGATCAATATCGGCTAATCTAGTTGATGGACCTGCTTCATCATTAGGCTCCCTCCAAAATGTCTCCCCAACATTAGGAATATTCTCTTCCTCCAAATCATACAAATCAACAGGGACTTTATTTCTTGCATAATAAACATCTTTCTCGATTGGATCCTACACATAAAAAACTTGATGTACTTGAGATGCCAACACAAAAGAGTCATCAGTACTACATAATCGGTTAAAGTATACCCGAGTTAACCCATATTCATCTACTTCATTACGAAACCAATCACATCTGAATAGTACAACACTAAAGCGCCCCCAATAATCAATCTTAATGATATCCTGAATAGCTCCATAGTAGAGAACCTCTCCATCAATGGGATTTTGGTCCCTAGCACTAGCAAAACTATCAGTTGTTGCTGACAAAGTCACTCCACTATTTTGAGTCTTCAACGGGGCATCCCGCGTCATTGTATGAAACAAGTAGCCGTTGATAAAATATCCAGTATATCATTTGGCCAATGTATTATGTCCTTTAGCTAGCCATCGCAAATGATTGGGCACGTCAATGCTTTTTACTTTCTCTTTAAACCAGTCGGCAAAGTTTCGACTATGATTTCTTGCTCTTACCCATGCATTTGGTCTAGTAAAATTATCAATTAAATTTTTATGTTCCCTGCAAGCCGTATGTTTCAAATTTAATCATTAGTCCATATCAATTATATTTAAAAATCTTAAAAAATAAAGCTTATAATACAAGTGATGATAATATATTTTATCTTACATGATAAACGCCTCCACTTGTTCATCTTCAGTATTGAAGAGAGCATACCTATGAGCCTCGGAACATAACTGCAAATCCATGGGGAAAATCTTTCCTTTTCTCTTTTTCTTACTTCCAATTGGATGGCCAATTTAAGGAAATATAGGTGACAAATTTGCTCCTTCAATGTCCCCATCATCCTCAGTTTGGTACCTACTGAATCTTGTCTTCACCCCATCATGTAGGTATCTCGAACAAAAGATCAAGCACTCTTCGGCCAAAAACCCCTCTGCAATTGATGCTTCTGGATGAGCTCGATTACGAACAAACGCCTTATACTTGCACAAGGTTCTTTCAGTGGAATACATCCAACGACAATGAGTTGGACCCCCAAGCTTAATTTCATTTACTAAATGAACAGGCAAATGAGGCATTATATCAAAATAGGTTGGAGTGAAGATCCTTTCAAGCTCACATGTATTTTCATTGATTTCAGTCTGCAATCTATCAAGATCCTCTCGCCTTACAACCTTAGCACATATGGCTCTAAAGAAGTTGCCCAACCTAATCAATGCCAAAGAAACATTCTTGGGTAATGATTTTCTAACAGCAACTTGGGGCAAGTAATGCATTATAAAATGAGCATCATGACTCTTGTACCCCGATATTTTCATCTCTTTCTCATGCACATAACGTGATATATTCGAGGCACAACCTTTTGGCAATTTGGCATTTTTAAAGACGGTGCAAAATCGCATCTTCTCTTCTGGATTCATGTACAAACAAGCTTTAGCCAAAGAAATTGTTCCACTTACAACATCTTGTATTGGTTGAAGCTCTTTTCGTATTCCCATTTCTTGCAAATCGTAACGAGAATTTTCATGATCTTTTGAATTTCCATCTATCTCCAATAATGTCCCAAGAATACTATCACATATATTTTTCTCAATGTGCATCGGATCATGATTGTGCCTCAATTTGTTAGTTTCCCAGTATGGTAGTTCAAAGAAGATTGATCTTTTCTTCCATGGACACTTGTTAACCCGAGACCTTTTCTTTTGGCCCTTTCCAAAGACATTCTTGAATTCACGCAACTCTTCGAGGACTTCTATACCCGACAAAGGAGTAGGTGCAAGTCTATGATCCTCCTTACCATCAAATGATTTCTTATCTCTTCGAAACGGATGTTCAGGAGGCAAAAATGCCCGATGACCCATGTAGCACATCTTACGACTATGCTTGAGATATTGAGAACATGTGCCATGATTACAAGTGGGGCATGAAAATTTTCCCTTTGTGCTCCATCCAGAAAGCATTGCTAGTGCAGGAAAATCACTAATTGTCCACATTAACGCTGCACGCATTTGAAACATCTAGTTGGATTCGGCATCAAATGTTTTTACACCGAATTCCCATAGTTCCTTCAATTCAGCAATTAGTGATTGTAGATACACATCTATATCATTTCCCGGAGATGACGGACCTAGGATGATCATTGACAACATTATATACTCTGGCTTCATGCAAATCCAAGGCGATAGATTATAGTTCATTAACATAACAGGCCATGTGCTATGGGAAATACTCATTGTTCGAAACGGGTTGAAACCATCACTTGAAAGATCCAATCTAACATTGCGAGGGTCGCTAGAGAATTCAGGGTGCAAGGAGTCGAATTCCTTCCAAGCATCACCATCAGTAGGATGTCTTATATTTCCATCATTCGGTCGTTCACTGGCATGCCATCTCATAGCTTCAGCTGTTTCGAGAAACATGAATATTCTCTGAAGTCGAGGCTTTAATGGAAAGTACCTTCAAACATTTGCAGGGGTTTTGGTCTTTTTATTAGTCAAGACATTAACAACATTCTTCCATCTAGAAGACCCACACACAGAACAAGTATCTGCATTTACATTGTCATTCCAAAATAACATGCAATCATTAGGACATGCATGTATTTTTTCATAATGAAGACCCAAATCTTTTATCATGCTTGTAGCCTTGTAGAAAGACTCGGGTAGCTGAGCAAATGGAAATACCTCTTTTAACAACTCCAACAAGTCTATGAATGACACATTACTTATCCCATGAATGCATTTAAACAAGTACAACCGAATCGTAAAACCTAATTTTGAGAAATTCTCACACCCTGGATATAATTCTTCTTTCCCTTCTTCTACTAATTTAAAGAATCCTTTTGCATCTTCTGATGGTCCATCCCTCACTCCTTCATGTCCCAAATCATCCTCAACATTTCGAAATGTATCATGAAGTAATCCATCAATATCGTCATACATGTCAGAACCTTCATCATTACTGCTTGGGCATCGAGTCTTTCTCGAGGAAAATCCTTCCCCGTGGAAAACCCATTTGTTGTATCCATGAACAAAACCATTAACAATCAAGTGGTCTTCCACCACATTCCTATGATGCCAAAAATAATTAGCGCACACTTTACAAGGGCATAATATTTGATTTCCTTGAGAAGCTCGTTCAAATGCTTTATCAAGAAATTTATTCACTCCTTGTATGTACTCATCAGTTGACCTTCGAAGGCCCATCCACCTTTTATCTTCGTTATCCATTTAATTTTATCCTACATAACACCAAAATAACTAGTATAAAATTGGTTTATATACTCCTAATAAAAAAATCAAATAATAAGAAAGATAGAAAAAAGTCACTTATTGTCAAAATTATATGGATTTCACTATTGCAAAATTTAATAGTAATTTTATGTTTATAGTTTATTTGTTATGATGTTATAACTTAATCTAGTCATATTCGTCAAATCCCTTTCTCCTAATCAAACAAATTCCATAGATGATCTGAAAGGAATATGGGC